ATTAGAGAATGTGAGTAAGGTCGTTATTGATCATGGTGCTATCAATGATGATATTAAACCAATACTCATTTATTCAGATGAACCTAAAGTAGCCAAGCAATCAAAATAATTGAATTTATATAAATCGACCATATAACTATTAAATTAGAAAACCTATTATTGAGTGAATATGACTCCTAAAGCTAAAGATTCTGAAGAGTTATTGTTGCCGTTATTACCATTGCGCGATGTGGTGGTGTTTCCGCACATGGTCATTCCGTTGTTTGTCGGGCGCCCTAAGTCAATCAAGGCGTTGGAAATAGCCATGGAATCGAGTAAAAGTATTTTACTCGTGGCACAGAAGCATGCAGCAAAAGATGAGCCAACACCAGATGACCTTTATAACGTATGTAGCGTTGCTAGCCTGTTGCAAATGTTAAAGTTGCCAGATGGTACGGTAAAGGTGCTGGTAGAAGGTAGTCATCGTGGGCGTATTCTTGAATTAGTTGACTCAGAAACTCATTTTTCTGGGAAAGCATTACAGTTGCCTTCTGAGAATATTGATAACCCGGAAATTGAGGCGATGCGGCGTGCCATACTGACTCAATTTGATCAGTATATAAAGCTTAATGAAGAAAATCCCATCTGAAATTAACTATTCCTGGGTGGGATAGAGAAGCGGGTCGTTTAGCCGACACCATTGCCAGCTTATTTGCCACCTTAAGTTAAGCTCAAACAAGAGATATTAGAAAATCTTTGATGTGGCAAAGCGCTTAGAGCATTTGCTGGACTTTTGGAGACGGAATTAGATATTCTTCAGGTGGAAACAGCGTATTCGCGGTCGAGTTTAGCGGCAGATGGAAAAGAGTCAGCGTGATTATTATCTCATATGAGCAGGTAAAGGCGATTCAGAAAGAGCTTTGGGTGAAAGGAAGGACGCGCTGATATTGAAGAGGTCGAGAAGAAAGATAAAAGCGGCACCAAATGCCTAAAGAGGCGCGGACTCAAAGCTGAATCAGAGCTTAAAAGAGTTGCGTCTAATGTCTCCAATGGTCTGCAGAGGCAACGGTTTGTAAGAAAATTATATTTGATGTGCTTGTTTCATTGCGTGAAGCAAAAAAGTAAAATCAGTAATGAGCTTGCGGTCCGCAGAGGCGGCCGTTAGAAGAAGACCCACTATGGCTTACGAAAAAGTTAAAAGAACGTATGTGACGTATCTAGCAGGCAGGCAGCGCGTGGCAAAATGAAAGCGCAATTTTGTGTTTAGGTTGGCCCCCGGGTGTTCGAAAAACCTCATTGGGGCAGTCGATTGCACTGCGACAAATCGTAAATTTTTGCTCGTCATGTCCTTAGGTGGCGGTGCGTGATGAATCAAGAGATCCGAGGGCAGTCGTCCGCACTTACAATTGGCTTCTATGCCTGGAAGATCCTGCAAAAACATGTCCCAAAGGTCGTGTGAGGAACCCGTCTATTTTTTACTCTGATGAAGTCGAGTAAGATGGGAATGGATTTCGTGGTGACCCATCTTCAGCCTGTTGGAGGTGTTGGATGCCCCGAACAAATGAGACTTTTGTTGATCATATATTGAAGTCGAATAGACTTATCCGAACGTCATGTGTTGCAACCGCAAATACGCTAAATATTCGCCCCGCATTGTTGGATCGTAGTGGAAGTTATACGCTGGCAGGCTATACCGAAGACGAGAAGCTTAATATCGCCACGCGCTACTCATATTGCCTAAGCCAGATGAAAGAATGCACGGTCTTGAGGCAAAGAGATAACCTTTCTTGATTCAGCCTACGCAAATATTGCTCGGTATTACCCAGAAGAAGCTGGTTTGCGTGCGATGGAGGCGAAGAGATTTTCTAAGGTTTGTCGAGGCAAAGTTGTTAAGTCATTACAGCTTAAAGGCGGTAAGAATAAAGTGTCTGTACAGGGCGTAACCTGAGAAATACTTAGGCGTTCGTCATTCATTCTTTATGGAGTCGCTGAAGATAAGAATCCAAGTAGGCAAAGTTTCTGGTTTGGCATGGACGAAGTGGGCGGTGAGTTACTGGACGATCGAAGCGGTTGTCTTGCCGGTAATAGGTAAAACGATACGGACAGGCCGCTTAGGTGAGATCATGCAGAATATACAGACAGCATTGTCAGTTGTTAGGAGTCGTTCTCAGTTGCTAGGTATTGCGGAAGATTTCTATCAGTCAAGTGACTTGCATATTCATCTTCCTGAAGGTGCGACACCTAAGGACGGCCCAAGTGCTGGTATTGGTATTTGCGTGGCGATGGTTTCTGTTTTGACTGGTATCCCGGTGCGAGCATCTGTTGCCATGACGGGTGAAATCACGCTGCGTGGCGAAGTGCTGCCTATCGGTGGACTTAAAGAGAAATTGCTGGCTGCTCATCTCGTGCTGGTACAAGAGTATTAATACCCGGAGTGAGAAATGTGAAAAGATTCTAGTTGAAATCCCTGGGAAATATTAAAAGACAAATTTAAATACTCCAATCCGGTCAGCATGGGAATTCAATGTGCTATAGAGCAAGCATTAGAGCCATAACCAGCAGCGCTTTTTAAGCCGATGCATCGCTGCATAGCGGCAAAAAAAGGTAAGTCGTTTGATAACTACTGTCGAAAGCATTAAACGCAACGTGTCGAGCAGCCGATGTAGCGCGTTTTTCTCGCGTGTCTTTTTAAAGCTAATTCCTAATAAAAAGCCGGTAGTTTGAATAAACTATGGGTTTTCTTTGCTAACTTAAGATTTATCTGGCTTCAACCTGCCGCTCCGCCAGATAGCCAGTCCATAATGATAAATGCAACGGTTAGAAATACGCTGAATAAATTTGAAAACTTGTGCATCTGTTTGTCTGTTGTTTTCTTCTTCGTCATGATTAAATCTCCAGTTTTAAATGTTTTACTCTTGGTTTTATGTGCTCTAACTTCACTGCTATAACAAGGCCAGACAATCTATTGACCCCTTCAGTCCTTTTAACACCCCACCTTAAGTACGTCATTGATGTTATTACTTCTGATCAACTCTCGCTGTTGCTATACACGTACATTGTTTACCGAGCGCATCTCTCCAAGGTGTGAATCTCAACTGCTCGCTCATTTGGAATTAGTCCCAAACAGATTAAACCAAGGAATCTAACGCATATTTTCCTAAACAAAGAAAGCACCTTAGAAATGATATGTAAGTAGTCTCTGTTAATTATAATACACGAATTGATTAAGTTTTTCTGTCTTTCTCATAATCAAGCGGGTATTAGAGTGTGGAATTAAACGTCATGTTTCGTTTATATTTTTGGTAACGTGACACCATGCTGTCCCTGATATTTGCCGCCTCTATCCTTATATGAGGTCTCGCATTCTTCGTCTGATTCAAAGAAAATAACTTGCGCAACACCTTCGTTAGCATATATTTTCGCTGGCAACGGTGTTGTGTTAGAAAACTCCAGCGTGACATAGCCTTCCCATTCCGGTTCAAAAGGGGTGACGTTAACGATAATGCCGCAACGCGCATACGTTGACTTGCCAAGACAAATGGTGAGAACGTTCCGTGGAATGCGGAAATACTCAATGGTACGTGCTAAGGCGAATGAATTGGGGGGGATGATGCAGACGTCACTTTTAACATCTACAAACGAATTCGCATCAAAATTCTTTGGATCCACAATGGTTGAATTAATATTTGTGAATAGCTTAAATTCATTCGCTTAAATTCATTGGAGCAACGGATATCATAGCCGTAGCTTGATGTGCCATAGGAAATGATTTTGTTGTCTTCTTTGAATCTTACTTGATCTGATTCAAAAGGCTCGATCATGCCATGCGTTTGCGCCATATGGCGAATCCATCTGTCGGACTTAATAGTCATTTTGTTAGGTATCGTTTAGTTATTTTCAATAACAATTTTGGCGAATAACTCAGAATTGTCTTCGGCTAAATCAGCAACCTTGACGGCCACACGACGCGCAATGGTACGATAAGTCTGCGCGATGCTGCCATCAGGGTCTGCCGCAACACTAGGTACACCGATA